CAATGAGTACTTGACCATACCAAAGCAAGACTTAGTAGAGAGGTCTAGCATAAGAATACTGCTGAAACAACTAAAGTGGGTAAAATCAAGCACATTGGAAGGTAGCAACAAAGGATAAAACGAAGAGTAAAATACATGCAGAATTCTTTCAAAGAGTAAGAAAGTGATCAAAGCAACGCAACAGCAAAATAAGCAAAGGATATAAACACAGTTTAAGGAAAGGACATCTAAATGGTTAAATATGCCCTAACCGGTTTGGCTCAATGGATAGAGCATCGGCCTGCAGACTCAAGGGTCCCAGGTTCGATTCTGGTCAAGGGCATGTACCTTGGTTGCAGGCACATACCCAGTAGGGAGTGTGCAGGAGGCAGCTGATTGATGTTTCTAACTCTCTATCCCTCTCCCTTCCTCTCTGTAAAAAAATCAATAAAATATATTTTATAAAATAAAATGGTTAAATAAGGTTTTGAAGGAAGGAAGGAAAGGGGGGGGGGAAGGAATGAATCTGTGGAAGGGAAGAATACAGGGAAGAAATTACCATTTATATAAACAGCTGCAATCAGCCTCCCTATGGTTCCTTGAACATGCCAAGCATATTCCCACCTCAGGGCCCTTGCATCTGCTGTTCCCTTTGCCTGGTAGTCCCTTCCTGCCTAAATTCCCATGACTAATTCCTCCTTTCACTCATTCAAATCTTGGCTCAAATGGCAACTTCTAAATGAGGCCTCTTTGACCACCCTATTTCAGATTGCAAGAACTCCTCCACCCCAAACTCTATACACTCTTTACTTGGAACTCTGTTTTGTTCTTCTCTGTGGCACTTAATATGACTTAAAGCACTAAATATCTTATTTATTAGAATGTTATCTCTCCTGACTAGACAATTATTTCCATAAGAGCAGGGATTTCCTTCAATATTATATTCCTAATGCTCAGAATAATGTCTAGCACATAGTAAAAACTCAGTATTTGTTGAAAGAATATCTACATAGATAGAATTTTGTCAAAAATATCTTATGTTCAAAATTATCTTAAAGTACATTGCTTTAAACATGCAAAACTGCCAACTATTCATGCAGAGAAAAGACCACCTCTTATTTTAAGATCATACAATTTCTAATTTTTAGGTGTTAAAATAGTCTTCCTTTTTCAAAATGATAGCTCTATTAATTATTTTTCCTTAATACCCTTATTTGCCAACATGGGAAATGTTCAAATCTGTCAGTGTCTAATTCTTTTGGAAAGTTTGCTGATATATGAAATCTAAAATTCTGGGAACTACTGACATACAGGATTAAAATAATTCATCAGAACGTCATTCAACCATCTAGCCCAACAGACCCATGGAAATCAACTTCATCCTTCAAAAATCTTCTTCTCTAGTCAAGACAGTCTCCTTACCATCTTCACGATTTTGATTCCCTGTGGATGCTTCTTCTGAGCTTTCCCCTTACTTCATCCCTTCTTTAAAACCTTCCCATCCAAAGATTTCCACTGCTTTAAGTATATTATCTAAAATTCTTTACCATCCAGCCTACATTCATTCATCTCTCATCTGAGCACCTCTAGCCCTCTAGGTAGAGCTCATGTTAAACAGTAGTTTGGCCCAAGCCAACTCTGTAATAATCACTTCAGGGAAGGTTTTTAAAAAGAGAATTTTCAGGGTCTTGGTGCAGATTGAGAGAATAGAATTTCAAGACTGGGGCACAGGATTCAATATATTTCAAAAGTCCTCCCAAATGATTCTGATCCATAGCCTGGTCTAGGAACAATTGATCTATACTATAAAATCTTAAATTAATCATAAAATACTTTGGTTATATTTAAATAAACATTATCTATGTGTGCTTCCCAGATCTCTTTAGGGAAGGAAGTCTTATAAAATTAAAGTAATTTAAATCATAATAATCATAACAGTTGCAGGTTTAACTTAAAACTTCAAATTAAACATCAAATGTGTATGTCCTATGTTGAATTATACATATGAAGGCCTTAATTTTGAAACAAATAACTTAAAATCCAATAGTAATTTCTGACATAGGTATGCAGAGCCATTTGTGAAAAAAGTATATTGATATTATCATAGGAGGTCATCTATTGCAAAGAAATCACTGTAAAGAAGTTTATTCAAATAGCAGCAACCAAAATTCACTGTTAAAAAAAAAAAGTGAGCCTAAATATAGCCTACTAACCTGTTTGTTGTTCTCTGCCATGGAAAGCTGCAATGCCAAGATCATGGAGTCTGCGCCACATACAGTAGTTCTCTCGGAGTCACAGAGAGTGTGCCAATTCCTCCTGAACTCTTTAATCATACCCAAGACAGACTTCTGATGAAGCCCAGCCATCCTCCTAACGTAGGACAGAATGCAATATTAAAACGCTTTATTTTCATTGGAAATTACTATTGAACATGTATAAGGCAAGCAAGAGTTAGAGGAAAGTAAGTAATGAACAAGAGGTCATCTCATGTTTACAAAGATTGCTTTTCATGAAATTTAGGAGAACAGAATAAAAACAATTTCTCCCCAATCATTATTTTCCTCTCCTTTAGCTTTCTTAAGCCAAATCGTTTGAAATAACAAAATACAACCTTCGATCTGAAAATTCATACAAAATAGATACACCAATTCTGCAAACTTATAATTATTGACACATAGCTGATTAAAACTGTGTTTAAAAATTTTTGTTTTACGATAGATGGTAATATCTGTGGTAGACTGGGGAGGGAGGCAGCCAATTTCTGCCCATCATTATATTATCTCAAAAGAGACTGTCTATTTTTCCATCCCTTTGAATTTCGGTTGGCCTTGTGACTTGATTTAACCAATAGGATGTAGCAGGCATGGCGCTGTGGGAGTTCCAAGCCTAGACCTCAAAAGGCCAGTGCAGAAAAAGAGTTAAGACAGCAGGCCTGATTACTATCCTTTGAAAGTCCTGCTTACAACGCTGGCCCTTGACTGACATCTGGGAACTTAGATTTCAGGAAGGTTTCTAGTAAGAGTGGCTCACTGTGCTTCAACTGTTTGTACAACGATAGAGTTATGCTGAACACAAAGGTTCTTTCTGAGTTTGGATTTTGGAACAAAATCTCAGATGTTTACTATGTATCTTGGGTTTCTATGATCAAGAAAATGGGCATATGCCATTTACAAAATAATAACCTAAAGACACAATCAGTGACACAACTTAAATGTACAGATATAAGACTGAAAATATCTACTTAAATACAGATCCTAGTAAATAGCTAAGAATTATATTTCTCTTAAAAATATCACCCTCATCTCTTATAATAAATAAAAAAGAAAGTGAAGGAGTAATGCTTCTGTAATGATCAGTTTGCCTGAAAGAAATCTTTAGTAGTAAATGACTTACTAGTGTTACTTAAAGGCCAGTGCAGAAAAAGAGTTCAGATTGCTAGAAGGAAGATGAATCTAGGATTACACTGTTCTGAATCCTGGCTTCACCACTTGCTAGCTGTGAGATCTTTGCCAAGTTATGTCACCTCTCCCAGCCTCAGCTTCGTTGCACTGAAAAATGAAAAGAACAGTTACTATCTCATAGAGTTTTGTAAAAAGTAAATGAGAAACATAACTGAAACTTTTAGATCAGTGCCTGGCACATATAAGAGCCAACAATCTTATCTAGGGGTCAGCACACTTTTTGGAAAGGGCCAAATAGCATATATTTGAGGAGTGCAAGCCATACGGTCTCTGTCACAACTACTCAACCTGACCTTGCCATGAGAAAATAGTCACCAACAACCCATGAACAAATGAGCTTCATCAAAACTTAATAAAAACTGAAATTTGAATTTCATATAATTTTCACACATCCCAAAATATCATTCTTCTAATGACCCCCCGCCCCCAACCATTTAAACGTGCAAAATCCATTCTTAGCTTGGGAACTGGATGCACTAAAACAGGCAGTGCCATGGGTTTGCCAACCCTGATCTAGTCTCAACTCTCCCAGTAGCTAGCGGGCTGTGTGAGCCTAGGCAGCTTTTAACCTGACTGCCTAGGTAGAGGTTTCATCAGAAAGAAAACAGGAATAATATTTCCCAGCCAGTTATGAGGAGTCAGTGAGACAACGAATATGCAAGCCCTTTGAATGTCAGTCAGCATTACACAAAACCAGTAGTAGAAGGTGGCAGAGATCATAAACACTTGTTTAAAAAAAAAAAAAAAACTGGATTCCAAGGCGCACTGAAGCAAACAAACATTGTGAGACAGGAAACTGTCACTGGGGAGGCAGTGTGAGATGATTAAACGAACTCCACTTTTGCGTCAGAGAGATCAGGGTCCACATGCAGGCTCTCCCATTTATTAGCTGTATGCCCTTCGGTATTTAAAATATCTGATAAGCATATATTTCTTCATCTGTAAAGCGGGGAGGATATCTCCTATCCCATAAGATTATGAGACGTTAGAGAGACAAGTAAATAATCCACCTAGTGCCCGGCATTTAGTAGGTGCTCAATAAAAAATAAATTAAAATGGCAGTCGTTGCTGCAATCACTGTCAGAATGCAGGTCCAAAAAGTTCCTCGGGAGGACGTAACAGGGAGAGGGCGAATGCAGCAGAACTGGAGTCTGCGTAGGTCTGGGGACTAGAACCCCCGTTTGTCGCCTAATGAACCTAAGGACCCCTCAATGGGCCTCGGACTTCCAGCCCCACCCACTCGTAGATACTGTCATCTCCGTGCAATACACCCAGACCCAACCTGGCTGCAGAACGAAGCCACCGCGCAAATAACTTAAACGATCACTCGGCGCTTTTCTGTCACCGAAAAGCCCGCGGCTTGAATCACCACGTACCATGTGAAATGCGGATGGAGGAGAGGTCAGACTCACCTGACTCGGGGAGACTCGGGAGGTGCAGGACCAGCTGAAGCACGGACCTTCCCAGCCTCACAGCCTCTCCCCTGTTTGAATCCTCGCGGGTTACATTTTAAATCTCGCGGGAGGGCCTGAGAGCCAATCGCCGCTGCCGCCCTCTGACCCGGAAGCAGAATCGAGGCGAGCCTCGAAGTGCCCTCCGCGGATACCCACTCTTCCCTGGCGATTCCCGGTTCCCTCCGGTGCGTATCACGGAGCCCAGGGGGCCGCGCCGCTTTGCTACCCACCGCCCCGCCGTCCCCAGGCGGCTCTCCACCCCTCTTCCCTCCGACCTCGGGCTCGGGGACGCGGTAGCGGGGTCTCGCCCGAACTGCCTGGGACAGGGGGAGGCATCTGGGCTCCTCGTAGGACCGCCTCTAACTCCCTCCTCCCCAGTGCTCTTCCAGTTTTTCAGGCACGTGTCCCGCGCGCCGTGCACTGTGAGACCCCCGATAATATAGCGAGACCGGACACGGCTTTAGACCGAGTGTCCTGACCGCGGGTCTCCTGCCTTCCCGCACCTCTGTGCCTCCGGGGGCCTTTCGGACGGCTGGTCGCCTTAAGCTAAATGCCCAATCCCAGATGCCCGCTTGTAAGGTTACTAGTGTGTATTGGCTTTCTGAGATGGGACTCATCTGATTCCCAATAAGTCCTCATCGGGTACTTAATATGTTTGTAATTGAGCCCAGCTGTTTTCAGGATAACTTCTGCGTCCAATAAAAAATAAAAAACCTATAGAATCCATGTCTCTTTCGGGGATGCTACATCCAGAGTGCAAACCAGACCACGACAGCTTAGTTGACGTTTTTTGCAGGTTATGTGAATATTATTTTTCATAACACATTTTGTCACTCCATCCATATCCCATATTTTCTATCTGTTTGTACGTGCAGCACTTTTCACGCTGAACCTTAACTGTCCAGGATTGTGAGCTCCTGCGAAGCCCAGAGCTGCGTTTTTCTTCTCTAGCACTGGCGTCCAACACGTGGTAATGTTTTCAAACTGACTCATCTTATGGCCTTGGAAAGCTAATTTAAGTCCTGAAGCCTTGATTTCCCCATCAGTAAAATGGGAACCATGGGCAGTACCTCCCTCTACGGCAGCGGTTCTCAACCTTGGCCCTTTAAGTATAGTTCCTCATGTTGTGACCCAACCATAAAATTATTTTTGTTGCTATTTCATAACTGTAATGTTGCTACTGTTATGAATCGTAATGTAAATATCTGATATGCAGGATGGCCTTGGGCGACCCCTGTGAAAGGGTCGTTCAACCGCCAAAGGGGTCACGACCCACAGGTTGAGAACCACTGCTAAGGTTTATAGGAATAGTTGATGCTATATTGTCAGTAAAGTGGTTAACGTGGCACCTGTAAAAAGATGCCCTGTAAATGTTAGCTATCTTTAAATTGTCATAAATATGTTTACTAAAGTGATTTCCTCTTCAAATGTTATATTTTTTAGATAATGTAAACAAAATTATAGTGATTCATGCTGCTCGGTATCATTCACAAAGTATCTAAATAAGTACTTTAAATTTTTTGTTGCTGTCTGTGGCATTTGCAATACTCCATTCTTATTTTGCTCATTTGCTGAAAGTGAATAATATTTTCTACCGTTTCTATCTAACTGTGTCTGTGCTATAGTTCACAGTTTCATGACTTTGTCCAGTTGAAGGCTACTTTATTGTTACAACTGCTCAAACTTTGACATACAAGATGAAGCAAGATGCCACAAGGAATGCTGCCTACACCGTGGATTGTGAAGATTATGTGCATGTGGTAGAATTTAATCCCTTTGACACCGGGGATTCCGGAAACCTAATTGCATATGGTGGCAATAATTACGTGGTCATTGGCACGTGTACGTTTCAGGTGAGTGTGTGAAACTACAGTGAATGACAGTGAAGATATTTCACTGATAAGAAAGCTTCTGCAAATGTTGGTAAACTTTTGCTAAACTTTGAAAGTATATTGCTTCCCTTTGAAGTTATTTTTTTTTTTATCTGGTTAAACAGTATTAGACATTGTTCTTAGTCTCTCATGTTAGAAGCTTCAAGTTCCATACTACCTAATTTCATGCCTCCCTCTTGTCTTGAGAGAAAACTAAGGTAAATCAAACTGGAAGATTTCCTCATTCCTATCAGAAAGGCAATCTTATTCTAACACTGGTGAAAAAAAAACACTATCAATATCATGAATTTGAATTTCAACAAAGCATTTTTCAGAATCTGATCGTGTTCTTTTTTAAATATATTTTATTGATTTTTTACAGAGAGAAAGGGAGAGAGATAGAGAGTTAGAAACATCGATCAGCTGCCTCCTGCACATCTCCCACTGGGGATGTGCCCGCAACCCAGGTACATGCCCTTGACCGGAATCGAACCTGGGACCTTTCAGTCCGCAGGCCGACGCTCTATCCACTGAGCCAAACTGGTTTTGGCGATGATTGTGTTCTTTTGAAAGATGGAAATTTAAGCTGAACGATAGTATTGATTGATGTCATATCTGTCAAATATTTATGAAGTTCAGATCTGGTGTGGGCACTGGTAATACATGTTTCTAAAAGCAAGGACCCTGCCCTCAAGGAGATGTTTAAATGTAAGCAGTGTAATAAGAAAACTTCTATAAAAGTCCTATTTGTAGACGGGAGAGGGAGCGTGAAAAGTTCTAAGTCTATTCAAAGGGTCATCAGTAATGAATTAAGGCCTCCACTGGGACTTGGATGAGAACACTTGACTCAGGCAAGAGCACGAAGCTGAGAAGGGTATCTAATGTTTTGAATGGCAGGGTTCATTTAATATGCTGTCTGTGCACATAATGTATGTCAGACTCTGCTCAGAATCCAAATACTATGTAATGTATATAATTAATGGGTCAAGTTGAACAAGCTAAAATTTAATAAGGATGAATATAAGTCTTAATATGATAGATTACTAGAGCTAAAAGGGAGAATTGTGACTTCCAGTTTTTAATCACCTGGATGTTCACCATGAATCAGTGCAATGATTAAACTGCCAAAGAGAGCTAATTCAGTGCTATCCAATAGAAATATAACGTGAGCCACAAATATAAATTTAAAGGTTGTAACCACATTATGGAAAGTGTAAAGCAGGTGAAATTAATTTTTTACCTAGCATATCCACAATATTTTATGTACAGCCAATATGAAAAATTATTGAGATATTTTATAGTCTATACTAACTGAAATCTAGTGTCGATTTTGCACTTTATAAAGTGTACACGTCTCAGCTTGAACTATACATATATCAAGTGTTTAAAAGCCCCATGTGGCTAGTAGCTACTATATTGGACTGCACAGCTCTATATTCTCTATAAAGTGGCAGTAATGCTTATTTCAGTCCTCAGCGCTGTGGAGATTTAAAGGAGATAATGTACTTGAAGACAAATTTCAGAGTGGTATTCAAATATTTAAAACTTTGCATAAAAGAGGGATTAGCCCAGCCGTGGGCAAACTACGGCCCACGGGCCGGATCCGGCCAGTTTGAAATGAATAAAACTAAAAAAAAAAAAAAAAGACCGTACCCTTTTATGTAATGATGTGTACTTTGAATTTATATTAGTTCACACAAACACTCCATCCATGCTTTTGTTCCGGCCCTCCGGTCCAGTTTAAGAACCCACTGTGGCCCTCGAGTCAAAAAGTTTGCCCACCCCTGGATTAGACTCAGAAGGGTAAAAGTATTGTTATTTGTCAATTCTGTTTAGGAGTGGTGTCAAATCTTCTTTTAGTCTGTTCCCCTAAGGCAGTGGTTCTCAACCTTGGCTGCACATTAGAATCACCTGGGAATCGTTTTAAAATCCTGATTTCTGGGTCTCATCCTCCAGAAATTCTGTTTCTTGGTTAAGGGTGGGGCCAGATTAGTAACAAAGAAACAGAATTTCTGGAGGATGAGGCCCAGAAATCAGGATTTTAAAAAGATTCCCAGGTGATTCTAATGTGCAGCCAAGGTTGAGAACCACTGCCTTAGGGGAAATCAGCTATGGCCAGGTATTTGCCACCACTGAATTAGACTTATTACTCTGTTCCAGAAAGCAGAATTTGGAGTCGTGAGTAGAATTTACAGGTAAAAAGATTTTGTTTCATGTTAAAGAGAACTCTTCTAATAATTCAATCTATCCCAAATGGAATAATCTCCCCCCAGGAAGTAGCTAGTTGCCTCTCACTGAAAGTGTTCAGAAAAGGGTTGTGCAAACTCTTGTTTACAGATGATGTACCAGGAATTTAAGCATTCAATGAAAGAAACAGAGTAGGTAAACTTTACAGTTTCCTCTAACTAAAATTCTATACTTGGCCTTAAATGGGGATGATAGGAAAGCCTGCCCATTTCAAATCCTTAGAATAGCCCTTCCGTCAACCTGGCTTGCCTCCAACCTCACATATGCTGGAGCCTTGTATAATGATATGTATTATGGCAAGTTTTCCACAAAGTATCTTAATTTCCTGCCTATACAATACTGCCTACACCCAAAATAGCATTTGTCTCTGCCTGTACCACACACACACCCTAGCCTTTTAGTTGGCTCAATGGCAGACATTGCTGCCAGGAAAAAAAGATTTCACTGGTAATACATAAAGCTCAGACTGTGCAGTCCCTGGGATTTCTTTATCCCCATGACCACCAAATAATTCCACATATGCTTTGGATAACAAATTACAAGACCTAATTGTCAGCACTATTGTTACAGTAGCAAAATAATGTCTGTTTTGATGGTAAAAACTTCATTTTTAGAAGATTGATTTGTCGAGTGTAGAAAAATAGATGTAACCCAAACTGTGAAGTCAGCTATGATTAGGCTTCTAACCTTATTTTAAAATTGCTTAGTGGTTGCTGTCTTGGTATATCTGGCAGTTAGCCATACAGTTATACACACAAATTACGAAGTAATAAAATTTGACAGTGTTTTTCTTTCCTTGATAAATACATTTTTATCCTTTTTTTCGTTTATGGAAAAACTTTTTGCTGTTAACTCTAAATTCATCTGAAATTTAAATTTATTTTCAAGGAACATCTGAATTATGTAGAGAAAGAGATGTGTAATGTATTTGTGAAATGACTTTGTTAAGATCTCAAAGGCTATCCTGAAAAAATCACATCCACTGGAATTTTATTAAAGTACACATACAACTTTGCATTTAGCATCAGGAATAGAGGTATTCTTAGAACAATTCAGCTGATACCTCCCCATTGAGACACATGTGTCCCATTAACAACACTAGACCGCAGAAGGAA